AGCAGGTGAGCCGTGTAGTAAGGCCATTGATCCTCGGTGATGTGTCCGTCAATGTCCAGTAGAGACTGTAGCAGGTGAGCCGTGTAGTAAAGCCATTGATCCTCGGTGATGTGTCCGTCAATGTCCAGTAGAGACTGTAGCAGGTGAGCCATGTAGTATAGCCATTGATCCTCGGTGATGTGTCCGTCAATGGCCAGTAGAGACTGTAGCAGGTGAGCTGTGTAGTAAAGCCATTGATCCTCGGTGTTGTGTCCGTCAATGTACAGTAGAGACTGTAGCAGGTGAGCCATGTAGTATAGCCATTGATCCTTGGTGATGTGTCCGTCAATGGCCAGTAGAGACTGTAGCAGGTGAGCCATGTAGTATAGCCATTGATCCTCGGTGATGTGTCCGTCAATGGCCAGTAGAGACTGTACTAGGTGAGCCGTGTAGTAAAGCCATTGATCCTCAGTGATGTGTCCGTCAATGTCCAGCAGAGACTGTAGCAGGTGAGCCGTGTAGTAAAGCCATTGATCCTCGGTGATGTGTCCGTCAATATCTAGCAGAGACTGTAGCAGGTGCGCCGTGTAGTAAAGCCATTGATCCTCGGTGATGTGTCCGTCAATATCCAGCAGAGACTGTAGCAGGTGAGCCGTATAGTAAAGCCATTGATCCTCAGTGATGTGTCCGTCAATGTCCGGCAGAGACTGTAGCAGGTGCGCCGTGTAGTAAAGCCATTGATCCTCAGTGATGTGTCCGTCAATGTCCAGCAGAGACTGTAGCAGGTGAGCCGTGTAGTAAAGCCATTGATCCTCAGTGATGTGTCCGTCAATATCCAGCAGAGACTGTAGCAGGTGAGCCGTGTAGTAAAGCCATTGATCCTCAGTGATGTGTCCGTCAATATCCAGCAGAGACTGTATCAGGTGAGCCGTGTAGTAAAGCCATTGATCCTCGGCGATGTGTCCGTCAATATCCAGTAGAGACTGTAGCAGGTGAGCCGTGTAGTAAAGCCATTGTTCCTCGTTGATGTGTCCGTCAATGTCCGGGAGAGACTGTAGCAGGTGATCCGTGTAGTAAAGCCATTGATCCTCGGTGATGTGTCCGTCAATATCTAGTAGAGACTGTAGCAGGTGAGCTGTGTAGTAAAGCCATTGATTCTCGGTGATGTGCCCGTCAATGTACAGTAGAGACTGTAGCAGGTGAGCCGTGTAGTAAAGCCATTGATCCTCGGTGTCGTGTCCGTCAATGTACAGTAGAGACTGTAGCAGGTGAGCTGTGTAGTAAAGCCATTGATCCTCGGTGTTGTGTCCGTCAATGTACAGTAGAGACTGTAGCAGGTGAGCTGTGTAGTAAAGCCATTGATCCTCGGTGTTGTGTCCGTCAATGTACAGTAGAGACTCGAGCAGGTGAGCTGTGTAGTAAAGCCATTGATCCTCGGTGTTGTGTCCGTCAATGTACATTAGAGACTGTAGCAGGTGAGCTGTGTAGTAAAGCCATTGATCCTCGGGAATGTGTCCTTCAATGTCCAGTAGAGACTGTACTAGGTGAGCCGTGTAGTAAAGCCATTGATCCTCGGTGATGTATCCGTCAATGTCCAGTAGAGACTGTAGCAGGTGAGCCGTGTAGTAAAGCCATTGATCCTCGGTGATGTGTCCGTCAATTGTCCAGTAGAGACTGTAGCAGGTGAGCCGTGTAGTAAAGCCATTGATCCTCGGTGATGTGTCCGTCAATGTCTGGTAGAGACTGTAGCAGGTGAGCCGTGTAGTAAGGCCATTGATCCTCGGTGATGTGTCCGTCAATGTCCAGTAGAGACTGTAGCAGGTGAGCCGTGTAGTAAAGCCATTGATCCTCGGTGATGTGTCCGTCAATGTACAGTAGAGACTCGAGCAGGTGAGCCGTGTAGTAAGGCCATTGATCCTCGGTGATGTGTCCGTCAATGTCCAGTAGAGACTGTAGCCGGTGAGCCGTGTAGTAAAGCCATTGATCCTCGGTGATGTGTCCGTCAATGTCCAGTAGAGACTGTAGCAGGTGAGCTGTGTAGTAAAGCCATTGATCCTCGTTAATGTGTCCTTCAATGTCCAGTAGAGACTGTACTAGGTGAGCCGTGTAGTAAAGCCATTGATACTCGGTGTTGTGTCCGTCAATGTCTAGTAGAGACTGTAGCAGGTGAGCCGTGTAGTAAAGCCATTGATGCTCGGTGATGTATCCGTCAATGTCCAGTAGAGACTGTAGCAGGTGAGCCGTGTAGTAAAGCCATTGATCCTCGGTGATGTGTCCGTCAATGTCCAGTAGAGACTGTAGCAGGTGAGCCATGTAGTATAGCCATTGATCCTCGGTGATGTGTCCGTCAATGGCCAGTAGAGACTGTAGCAGGTGAGCCATGTAGTATAGCCATTGATCCTCGGTGATGTGTCCGTCAATGTCCAGTAGAGACTGTAGCAGGTGAGCCATGTAGTATAGCCATTGATCCTCGGTGATGTGTCCGTCAATGGCCAGTAGAGACTGTAGCAGGTGAGCCATGTAGTATAGCCATTGATCCTCGGTGATGTGTCCGTCAATGGCCAGTAGAGACTGTAGCAGGTGAGCTGTGTAGTAAAGCCATTGATCCTCGGTGATGTTCCGTCAATGTCCAGTAGAGACTGTAGCAGGTGAGCTGTGTAGTAAAGCCATTGATCCTCGGTGTTGTGTCCGTCAATGTACAGTAGGGACTCGAGCAGGTGAGCTGTGTAGTAAAGCCATTGATCCTCGGTGTTGTGTCCGTCAATGTACAGTAGAGACTCGAGCAGGTGAGCTGTGTAGTAAAGCCATTGATCCTCGGTGTTGTGTCCGTCAATGTACATTAGAGACTGTAGCAGGTGAGCTGTGTAGTAAAGCCATTGATCCTCGGGAATGTGTCCTTCAATGTCCAGTAGAGACTGTACTAGGTGAGCCGTGTAGTAAAGCCATTGATCCTCGGTGATGTGTCCGTCAATGTCCAGTAGAGACTGTAGCAGGTGAGCCATGTAGTAAAGCCATTGATCCTCGGTGATGTGTCCGTCAATGTCCAGTAGAGACTGTAGCAGGTGAGCCGTGTAGTAAAGCCATTGATCCTCGGTGATGTGTCCGTCAATGTCTAGTAGAGACTGTAGCAGGTGAGCCGTGTAGTAAAGCCATCGATCCTCGGTGATGTGTCCGTCAATGTCCAGTAGAGACTGTAGCAGGTGAGCCGTGTAGTAAAGCCATTGATCCTCGGTGATGTGTCCGTCAATGTCCAGTAGAGACTGTAGCAGGTGAGCCGTGTAGTAAAGCCATTGATCCTCGGTGATGTGTCCGTCAATGTCCAGTAGAGACTGTAGCAGGTGAGCCGTGTAGTAAAGCCATCGATCCTCGGTGATGTGTCCGTCAATGTCCAGTAGAGACTGTAGCAGGTGAGCCGTGTAGTAAAGCCATTGATCCTCGGTGATGTGTCCGTCAATGTCCAGTAGAGACTGTAGCAGGTGAGCCATGTAGTAAAACCATTGATCCTCGGTGATGTGTCCGTCAATGTCCAGTAGAGACTGTAGCAGGTGAGCCGTGTAGTAAAGCCATTGATCCTCGGTGATGTGTCCGTCAATGTCTAGTAGAGACTGTAGCAGGTGAGCCGTGTAGTAAAGCCATCGATCTTCGGTGATGTGTCCGTCAATGTCCAGTAGAGACTGTAGCAGGTGAGCCGTGTAGTAAAGCCATTGATCCTCGGTGATGTGTCCGTCAATGTCCAGTAGAGACTGTAGCAGGTGAGCCGTGTAGTAAAGCCATTGATCCTCGGTGATGTGTCCGTCAATGTCCAGTAGAGACTGTAGCAGGTGAGCCGTGTAGTAAAGCCATCGATCCTCGGTGATGTGTCCGTCAATGTCCAGTAGAGACTGTAGCAGGTGAGCCATGTAGTAAAGACATTGATCCTCGGTGATGGATGTGATTTAACACTTCTTTGTCGCTAGTTTAAGGCGACCAGTCTTTTGAATTTTACCAAGAAATTTTTCTTTCCTATTTATCTGGAAATACCTGAAAAATAATAATTTTCTTCTATCGCACATAATATTTTCCATGAAAAAATTTGTAAGGGTTCCTAATATTTTGCATACAAAAGTAATTTAAAGTGGAAGAATAGGTTTTTTTGTATAATTTTCTAATGCCGGTTGTATTTTCTTTAATTCACAAATATCGTTGTTTCACGAGAGGACGTGGGCTGTGTAAGTTGTCTACATGTTACTCGACGCATTGAAAACGACAACTTTTATAGCATCATAAAACTCAGACTGAATTTCACGGGATACATTTACGTGATACATTGCTGCGGCTTCTGTTTCTAAAAGGACATTAAAGTAACTTGTAATTCAAGACCGGCTAAATTATATCCACATGAATAACCGATGGAAATCTGTACTTTTTATGGTTTGTAATTAAATTTTCCTTTTAAAATAATTTTTATTGCGATTTAAGATCAAGTCAATTACATAAGTGCTGAATCCCCAAATTATTCTAAAAGTAATTCTTATAAATAAGGTATATTTGTAGTTTGAAAACTTGTTGATCCATACACGTAATTTATAACATACTGGTTGTTATCCGGTATATGAATTTAAAACCTCTCTTTTATTAGCTAGCCGTGATTGGGACGTAATTCTACTTGTATATATTGCATCTACAAGTATACAAGCTCGAATACCTTTTTTGTAATAATGTTCCTCATAATATTCTAGAAATTGGAAACCTTTTTGTTTCTGAGCTAACATATTTAATTAAAGAAGTTGTTAATTCATATTTAAATATCGCGTGTAGGGCAATTAATTGTGCATTTTAGAGTGCTACATTAAATTTATCAGTTCTCTTGTCAGTTTATTACATATTAAATAAAAGATGTGTAAAATAAAATAGGTGTATTCTGAATTGAATCCTAAATAACAATGATTGTAAACAAAAACAATTTTAACTTATTACACATATCATATGGTATTTTGTTAAACATACAGTATGTTAGAAAAAGACACATCAATTTTCCCCCTTTAAAGTCTTGATCGCAGCATTTGATCTACATGTCGTCTGCATGTTACTCCGTTCTCCAGTTCAACGTTGTAATGTAGATTTCCATCTCTTGATGTAACTTTTCCGAAACTCCATTTTGTCTGACCCTTGTAGTAGTTTCTCACTTGAACACGGTCTCCCACCTTAAATATGCGTGTTATACCTTTAGGTTTGTCTTTTGAGTCCTCGATTCTAGAAGGTATCATAACACTCAGGTATGTTCTTACTTGTCTGTTGAACATGAGATAGTATGCCGAGTTTCCTGTTGAGTTTGGTACTTGACGCAGTTGAATTAACGCCTTGTGAATTTTACTGTCAAGTGTTCCTGGTTCATCTAATATCGACTTCAACATCTTCTTCACTGTTTGTACAAAGCGTTCAGCTTGTCCATTAGATGATGGGTGGAACGGAGCAGTCGTTTTGTGTTGAGTTCCACATGACTTAAGAAACTCTTGAAAAGTAAGAGAAGTGAAACTTCGTCCATTGTCTGAAATTAGGAGGCTTGGAAGACCAAAAGTACTAAAAAGTTTCTTCAACTCCTTAATAGTCCAATCGGTAGTTGCTGTTTTTGTGGGTATTACCTCTACCCATTTGGAGAAGGCATCAACAACAATGAAAAATTGTTGTCCATTTGTTGGGCCCATGAAATCTATACAGGGTGATTGATATAAGTGTGCCAGCCGTTTTATTCGAAACCCATAAGAGATATCAAAAAAAGATAAATGGTAAGTGCCTTGGACTTTTTATTTTAAAAATTGTAGTAAAGTCAAAAATGTTATTTTAGCCGCCATTTTTCCAATATGGCCACCAACTTTGATTTTTCTTATAGAACACCCTGTATTTTATTATGTATTCTGGTAGAAAATGTAATTTTAAGACGATTTTATTCTTGTGATTTTTTTCATAAACCTAACCGTTTCAAAGATAATAATGGTTAAAATTTTGAAATTTCTGCATGAGAAAGAGTTTCGATAAAGGCCTAAGCAAGCATGCCAGCTGTTTTATTTGAAAACCATTCAAAATTTCACAACTTAAACCATTATTATCTTTGAAACGGTTAGGTTTATGAAAAAAATTACAAGAATAAAATCGTCTTAAAATTACATTTTCTACCAGAACACATCATAAAATACAGGGTGTCCCATAAGAAAAATCAAAGTTGGCGGCCATATTGGAAAAATGGCGGCTAAAATAATTTTTTTGACTTGACTAAAATTTTTTTAATAAAAAATCCAAGGCACTTACCGTTTAACTTTTTTTGATATCTCTTATAGTTTTCGAATAAAACGGCTGGCACACTTATATCAATCACCCTGTATTCTCTCCCATGGCTGAGTTGCTGGTTCCCAAGGATGGTTGATCTCTTTCGTTGGAGAATTTTGTTTCTCACGACAAGGCTTGCAAACAGCAATCATGTTTTCAATGTCTTTATCCATTCCTCTCCAAAAGCAGTAACTTCTTGCCAAAGCTTTGGTTTTTACTATACCAATGTGCCCGTAGTGTAGTTAATTGAGAATTCTTTTCTTGAGGGAATTTGGGATGATTACTTTCCACCCTTTGAAGAGGCATCCTTCATGTAATGTAACTTCATTATCGTGAAATCCCAATGGCTCTAATGATTGACCATCCTCAAGAGCCTCAAGAATTTGTTTTAGATATGCGTCCTTCTTAGTTTCTTCGGCTAGTTCTTTGGGATTGATAGTTATGGTGTTCAATTGGTTTGTTTGAAAATGTCCAAACTGGTCAATACTTGTAAATTTTGAATCTTCCACAGGAAATCTTGAGAGGAAATCTGCATTCCCATGGTCACCAGTTCTCTTGAATTCAATTGTGTAGTTAAATCCTGATAAAAAATGGGAGTAGTTGAATAGTCGCGTAGCTGACATTGACGGTAGGCTCTTGTTGGGATTGAAGATTGACACTAATGGTTTATGGTCCGTGATGAGTGTGAAATGACGTCCGTAGCAATAAGAAAAAAATTTCTTTAACCCCCAGTATATACCTGTGGCTTCTTTATCGATTTGGCTGTAATGTTTTTCAGCATTGGTCAATGATCTTGAAGCAAAAGCTATAGGCTTTTCACTTCCATCTGGGAAACGATGTGATATCACTGCTCCAAGTCCCACTGGTGAAGCGTCAGTTGCAAGGATCAATGGCAGGTCTGGGTTTTAAAGTGACAAAGAACTGTGTCACTTGTTATTCTTTTCTTGATGTTTTGGAAACTTTCTTCACACTTACTGTCCCATATGAATGACTGCCCTTTTTTTAGAAGTCTATGTAAAGGATTTAAAACAGTGGACAAATTCTTTACAAACCGGTTGTAGTAATTAACAAGCCCTAGGAAAGATCGGAGTTCCTGTATGTTTTGAGGTCTTCGTGCAATTGCTTTGTAATTGCTGTGATTTTATCCTTACTTTTGTGGATTCCAGTGGCGTCAATAACATGTCCTAAGTATTCAATTTTCTTTGAAAAATTTGCACTTGTCACGGTTCAACTTCAAATTTTGACTTCTTAAACGCTCAAACACTTGCTTTAGTCTTTCTAGTAGTTCTTTTGATGACGTTCCTTGAATTATTATATCGTCGAAGAAGCACTGAACACCTTGAAGGTCTTGAAGGATTCCGTCCATCACCTTTTGCCAAACTCCTGGAGCAACTTTTACACCAAACATCAATCTGTTAACTATGTATTGTCCTTTATGAGTGCTCAAAGTTTGAATTTCTGCACTCTCAGCATCCATTTCCAAGTGGAGATAAGCGTTACTTAAATCCAAAGTACAGAACAACTGTCCTCCATTCATTTGAGCAAAAATGTCTTCGATCCGAGGTATTGGATGATGTTCTTCTTTGATTTGTTTATTTACTGTAACCTTGTAATCAGCGCATATTCGTATGTTACCATTTGGCTTTACTACAGGTACAATTGGAGTACCCCAATCGGACTTGTCTGTTTTGGAAATGATTCCAGCTTCTTTCAGACGATTCAACTCGAGTTCTACTTTTTCAGTTAGTGCATATGGGACTGGACGAGCCTTCACAAAAATAGGTCTTGCCCCTTCAACAAGCTGTAAGTGTGCTTTTTTGTGAGGTATGAGTCCTACTCCTGGTTCAAATAATTCCTTGAATTCATCCAAAAGATCTTCGAGTGCAGTAGATGTAGTATTGTTACTAACTGTTTTAAGTTCTGCCCAATCCAGTTTGACCTCTCTAATCCATTCTCTTCCGAAAATTGCATCGAAATTTTGGTTCACTATGTAGAGTTTCCCAACAAACACCTGATCATTGTAAGTGCATTCTACAAAGACGACACCCCGGGGTTTGATTATTTCGCTTGAGTATGTCCTTAGTTCTATGTTTGTGTGGAAAATCTTTTTATTTATGTTGAGACTTTTGAAGGTAGAGTATGGTAGAATACTTATTGCTGCTCCAGTATCTAACTCCATCCGCACAGGTTTACCTTCAATAAGTATCTTGACCATAAACTTGTCATTACCGCCACTCTGGTTGTGTATCTTAAAAACCTCTTGTTTCTCTTCCTTATAATAGTCTATAGTATTGTCAGTTTCGGTACAATGAATTTCTGTTTGTTTTGTGCCTAAACATACGCTAGCAATATGCCCTTGTTTGTTGCATTTCTTACATATTTCTCCGATAAATTTACACTGATGTGCCCTGTGTCTAGGTGATCCACAACGATAGCATTTACCTTTGAGGCGTTCAAATGGAGACTTTAACTTTTTGTTCCAAGTAGGAGAAAAAGGGGGTGGTTTTGTTCCTGTACCTGCTATCTTGTTGATTTTCTCATTTGAATGAATGTTTTCTTCTACTATATAGCTTTCGTTCTTTGCCAATCACAACTGACTGAAATAGTATATTTCGTACCAAGGGCCGAAAATGAGGTTTTGCCGGCTCGAGATAGTTTTTAAGTTCGAGACGAAGTCGAGAACTTAAATCGATCGAGAGCTGCTAAACCATTTCGGTCCGTGGTACGAACGCTATTTTTCACCACACTATACCCTATTACCACTATTCACCACTATAATAATGCACACGGATAGTCAACACAACTACAACTTTAAGGTTAAGAAATAATTTGAGGAATCAGCAAAAATATAAATAAATAGTTGCTAGGCAACAGTGACAATAACACAATTATATATTGCAATGCTATGGATTTTAATTGTGTATTTAAAACGCATTCATGTTCTAAGTAAGTAAGTGGACAGCTGATTTTGCGGCCCCGGCCTGTAAAAACTTGCTCGGTCCCCAAATTGGCGACAGCTGGCATGGCCAGCAAAACGTAACTTTCAGCCACCAATTAACGTATGTAATACAGCCAAAAACATCATAGTGTGGTGAAAAAAATGTTATGCCAAGGAGTAAGCTAAATTTTTATAGCCTAATACTTTAACTAAAAATGAAAAGAATTACCTCATATCTTATCCAGAAATAGCGAACCGTACTCTAGAGCTAGTTTACCCTCCAGTACATTGGAAGCGGCGCTTTTTGAGGATCAGTTTTGTTGATGTTTCAATATTATTAAATTCTCGACATTGCTCAAGGCCGAATGTTCGGTTTTCTTTAAGAACAATAAATATAAACTACCAATTTGGCCTTTGGACGGTTTCATCATCTATATCTTTCCAATATAATTTCTGAATATTTATTAATTCATTGAGATAAGTATAACGTTTGAATTTTCAAACCATAGTTCTAAATAAAAATAAACAATTTCATAATTAAGTTGAATTACCGCACGCAATGTTGGAAAGTGTTACAAAGTTTTGGGTTTTAAGTATAAATAATGTTATAGGTAAAATATAATAAGTTCGAATTAAGCATGTAGCTACTTAGAATGCTTTTAAATAATGAGCTTTCAAATTCGATGTTCCGTAAGCCGATTACAATCGTAACAGAAATGTTTAATTGACAGTCTGCGGTTTCTAAGGAAAGTTGAGTTAATTTTGCCTTTCTCTGTAACCATCAATCGTTATAATTCTCATTAATGAATTATTAATTACTTGTTTTTAAATTTGATCACTTTATGATAAAGTACACTGTCACAAAAATGTTTGGCAACTCTTGTTTTAGTTATTGAAAAAATGCTCATCTACTTCGACATGCATCTAAATTACATTTGTCCTTTTTAGTTGAACATTTGTATTTCCTAACTAAGTTAATAAAGCACATTCAAAAGTAAAGCGCAAATTAGTGTTTTTATATATTATACATGTATATATTTACAACGTAAAAAACCCGTAATGACTGAAAAGATAAAGAAAAGTACCAACCGTTCTTTGTTTCCAAAGTATGGTCTTTTGATAAAGGTACAAACTATATTCCACTTAGTTACATTTCACAACTGTTCAGTATAATTTACATTAGAATTATACAGGAAGTAATGTAGGAGTATTTAAAATAGTTTGTCATTAGCAAAATTATACTGGAATAAATTATATTATATCTCATTACTAGGGTGTAAAGTTTACGATCCGAGCTCAAGTTTCGCGATAGAGGCGAAGTCGATGTCGGAAAATTATCTAGGGTTGAATGGACATTTGTATTACTATATTTTTTGTCATATTGCTAAATTATTTAACAAACTAAGCTAGAAATTACCGCACTGGCTTGGCAGGTCTTCAGACTCATAGCTGGAGCTTGTGTTTGGATGCATTACAGCGGAATCCGTTTTAGCAGGATGCTTTAAAAGAACAAGTGAACAGAACCAGTCTTCAAATCAAGCTACAGAAAATATAACTAAATATAGCTACAGTTGCTATAAATAGAAGCATAACTAAAGTAACAACTCCATAAGAATAACATTAAATTTCAAATTTACAATTTATTGTATTTTCTCTGTAACCAATAACGGCAATAACCGTAAAAAACACTTAAATATTAAATTATTCGTTTTTATGCTCTTTAAAACAGTTTCAAGAAATTAGGAAATTGTATGTTTTAAGTGTCAAAAACTGACAACAAATTTCTCGAGTCAACGTTACTTATCCTTTTTGTTATCAATATTTTTTAGGTGTATTGTAAATGACATTGCCATGTAAACTAAAAATAAAATAAAACTGTGGGAAACGCTGTGCTAACAATTTATCCTGTAGCAATTAGCTAATTGTTAGTTGTATACTCATTTTACTTGGCCTGAAAATTCTTAGCAGCAAGAAAAGAGGAACTATTGGCTGAACATTTATAATTCATTTTTAAGTTATTAAAAGTCAGGAATCAGAGGTGTAATAACCAGAACCTTGGAAACAGGACAAACTTCACGTTAATATTAAGTAGTATGACTTTAAAAACTAAATTGTTTACAAGTTACATTTTTTACAATCAAGAACTTGTTAACATGCCTTAAGTAACATGGATAGCCTACTAGGCTAACTAATATTAAAGAATCAATAAGCTTATTGGGCATTAAATACATTACAAGAATACACTCGTCTAAAGGTTTAAATAATTCTTAAATTGTTAGTAAAGTATGAAATTTACATTTATGGTATTCATCAATGCTGTAAAATGCTTTTTGTTTTAGCCAGTTTGAAATATTTTCTTAAAATTTTACTAGAGGTAGATTTCTTAACACTAAGGGTAACTTAAAAACAGGAATTGCTGGTAACTGTGTCTTCTAAAGGATTTGTGTATGCGGATGTAAGTTGTTACAAGATTATGTTTGTTTCTCGTGCTGTGTTCATGTTGATTACACTGTTCATTAAAATTGCTACTTTTTTCCAGAACTTAAAGTTAAATTGCAAAAAATATAAATACTTGGTTATGTCATTATTTTAAGACTAATAAAACTAACTATGCAGGATTCTGGATTTTTTTTAAAGCCTACCATATAACGAATGACATTCTTTTGCCATTTGAATACTCTTTTCGCAATAGCGCTACAATTATTTACATAGTGCAAACGCATATTTAAGTAAGCCAAGTGCAACTAATACATTCCCCTGTTTCCTTTAAACCTTAGTCAAATTTCCCGCTTTAGAGTTGAGACTAATCGGAATAGGTCGAATATCATCGTGACCACTCGGCTCCTCAAAACTATTTCAGACTAGTAGCTAGTATACAACTATGTAAAATTATCGTTATGCTATACTAACAAACCTGTTTGTTTAAAAAAAAAGAGTCTCAAGTAGCTGATTTTATTCTCCACATCTTTTTTCCCTTTTTAAAGTTTTGTGACATAATTTGTTACCAAACGAAATCTTATTTTTAACAATGGATCGTTAGTGCGAACAATTCTCAAAAAGAGAACAATTCTCAATATTGCCAAAGCCAATATATATTTAAACTAGTAGATTTTTTTATAGTATATTAGACTTATCAAACTTGGCCACAAAATTAACAATGCCACTTCATGGCTAAACTTAAATGACAAACATTGGTTTAATTCAATTGAAAAAGAAAGGTGCTTTATTTAGACGGGTGTTAGGGTATACGAAAATAACGTTGGTAAAGAGTAGCTGAGCCAGACCTGAATAAGATGTAAAAATAACATTTACATTACATCTTGCATGCATAATGTATCCAGGCTTGAGTTACAACAGACGAAGAGCGTAGATATAACTTCGACATATTAACGATATCAAATACTACATAATTAAAGTCATTGTATTAGGCCTAATACATCTAACTAAAAATGAACTAATTTAGTCTGTAAAACATTATAACAATTTCCTTTAATAATGTTGAGGAGGTGTTTGGTTCACATGTGATGAAGAGTGCTTGCGTTCGCAACATAGAGAACAAAATCATCCACTTCAACAACCCCTTGAAAATCTGATGCTTTCATGCACTACCGTTGCTGTCTTATCATCACTTACCAAACCAATTAAAACTATACTGTACATTCAATTGTTTGTTTCGATGTATAAAAATAATCCTGGAAAATAACCAATCATTCACAAATTATCATTAGAATTCCAAATAGAGTGAATGTTGATGTGGACGTCCACCTATTCTTACTTATCTCAATAAATATAGCATGGATCTGGATTGTAAATTTAATATCTAACATATCCGTTCGACAAATTATAAACATTATTTACATGTATAAATATCTAGATGGGATGTGAAGTAAGTAAAATGAGATCTCAAGTGTTACAGACTGCGATCATACTTCTCGCACGCTCGTGCAATTATAGTGGTTGCGCGAGATCGTGGGGACGTGCAGTAGTAAACAAATAGGTCGGACAAACAAAAAACAAATTGTAACTTGCCCAGCATGATCATACTACAAGTAGTAGTCACATGAGCGTACATGTTACTCCACCAGCAGATTCCTGCAACCAAATTTATTTATTTAGAATAATTTACCTTTTACAGTAGCCTTAGTTGTCAACAATTGAATTCTGTAGCAGTTCATTTGTCAAATCAATTAGTTTTGTCTTCAATGCAGTCTAAACTTCGGCTTTTGCTGCTAATACTCGTTGGAGCTTCATTTCACTCCAAAATAGAACACTTTTTGTTTCTAAGAGTTTACTTAGCAGCTCTTCAAACTGTTGTTGCCGTCCCTGCAACATTTTAATTATCAATTCTTCATAAATATAAGGGAAATGATTAGGATAAATAATAAGAACCAAATCCTTTATAACTAATTCAGGAAATTATGACGATAATTTACTGAATTATATAAATCACCTTCAGGTTCTACTGTTGTCCCCTATTTCAATACTTTTGCATATTAAGTTTCATTAAGTTATTCATGCAATATACCCGAGCAGTATTTTGTCAAGGTGAATTAAGTTTTCTTTTACAAACTTCTGTCTATTTAGAGATGAAGGTCAATCTTCATCAGATGTACTTACAGCGTTCCAATGTCAAATTGAAATATTCAAAAGTAACATTTACTTATAATATTTCAAATAAATATATGAAATGTTCATTAATAATTACGTAACTCTTTTACTCTTTAAACCAGTAACAACTTTGGGTTTACAGCCATACATACTGTTGCATATTTAGCATGTTATATATTTGGTAAAGACTGAGTTTTCGGTGTGTACATTAATTTTCTGGAGTTAAAGAGTTGAGCGCTGGAGGGTGTTTGCCGTCAGTTACCAAGGTAAACGGGCAACAACGGCAGCGAACGGCGCCGAGGCAAATGTTTGGCTTTGTATGTTTGATGGTCAAGTGGCCTGAGTTGTACAAAGGTGCCGTCGTTTGAGTTGGCTTTCTTCCATCTCAATAATACGACGAGTTTGTAGCTTATGACTGGTAATATTGTGCAGAGGAGATAAATGAAAATAAAATTCTACTAGCACAAATTTGAATGTAAAAGGATATGGTTGAGTTTAAGGGTTGATATCAATGTATAAATTTCATACAATACTAAGCTTAGATTATACGTATTTGAATGCCACTTAACTGCTAAAATGAAATAGATATTAGTAAATAACAGATTATTTCATAATAGTCAGTCGCAGTCTGGAATCAATACCAGCAAAAAATTAAATAAAAGGTGTGTGAATATTTAAGGCTTTAACTCAATTGTGAATATTTACTTCTAAATGTTTTAAACTTGTGTTGTAAAGTGTGAAATGCCACATTGCTTGTAAAAAGTAATTTTACGCACGGTTCTGGATGAATAATTTCTCTGAAAATAAAAAAAATATAGCATTATATTTTTCATTCATTTTAACTGACACTAAAGAACTAGTCATAATATTATGTAGTTAATTACACAAGTGTATATGTTTTTTTAAGAGTTTCGAAAACTAAATCACTACAAAATACCTGGATGGGGATTTTATACAAATCCAATCCCAAGATTACTGAAACTTTGGTAGTTCAAGTAAGTAGGTCCTTTAGTAAAAATAATTAATAATTAACCGACTGAATATCTTAAGCAGCGGTATTTTCGTTAAGTTTAAGTTTTATCATTGTTCGTTTTTCACTATTTACAAAGAATAGATCAAACGGAAGATAATTAAAGTACGCTATTAGTTTTACAATTTAGTTACCATTGATATTCACTTTAGTTTATAAAATAATAATAATTCATAACATAAACCAGATACAATTACGGAGTCGTGTTCTGGGTAAAATATTTGAGACCTACTCTACTAACTAATCGGTTCATTCGATCTTTTAAACGTTCATTTGACAAACCGACGCAATCAGCCCCCACGAGAATGAACCTTTTGTAGAAAACTCAAAGTGTCTTATTGTGTTAACACAAGTTACTCCATTCAACATTTGGACATTTGTCATTTAAACACCAAAGACAAATGAAACCCAGCCTACTCGGTATTTGCTTAAGTAATTTTTACACTAATTAGAAAATGTTTAATAAAATTGCTTTTGTCTATAACATAGTGTAAATACGTGTTTAACTTTTAGCCCAGTCAATAAAGGTTTTATGTCGGAACAAATTAGTGACAAGCAAAACTATATACCACTGGATAGTACACATAGAGATATGCATTTTCCCAAAAGTCCCCTAAAATCCCCCCGGTGCTTTCCCCCCCACCCCCCCTCAAAGTCAGGAATTGCAAGGTTTTACTAAATCACGCCTTAGTCCAGTATGGTTTATCCGATTGTAATAATTTACAGCTCGTTATATTCCTAAATGAATTGTCTAAAATAAGTTCCTTTACACTTTTGCGTTAAATCCAACACTTTCTTCAAAATTTAATGATAAACTCTAAAAATAAGCAAATCTTTAAGCCGATATTTCAGTTTTTCTGCCGTAGTTTTTTAAATAGTAGAAAAAATGAAAAACGCCTTCTCTAAAGGTTGTAGAGAATGTCTTTCTGATCATTTGCATATAAATAAGTATAGGATTGTGATATAAATATGGGCAGGGGAACGGTAAAACGAGACGAGAGTCTGGGCCTCGACGACGCAGCAGCCGTCGTGCCGCGCGCCGCCTTATAACCGCGAGTGAAGTTATCCACCCTGGGTAAGGTACAGTACAGAATGAGTTTGTTATGCAAAATCAATTATCTATTAATGAGGTTTGAACTAATACTGTCAGAGATAACATTGATTGGTTGGCTTTAAACCTAAACTTGTATTATTTCTTGATATTAAGAAATACATAAGATGAAGGCTATTCATTGTAAGTTTATTATTTAATTTTAAAGTAAAACTTATTAATAATGAGTATATTCTTTGTGCCAGTTTTGGTTCGGGGGAGTCTTGCTCCTAACCCTTTGAAAGGTATTTCCATTATCCACCACCTATGGACCCGCCGTGTCCCGGACTGGCAAAAACCGGTAGCTATGAATTCCTAATTACTCTTAATTAATAACATAAATATAATAAGAGTTGTTAGAATTCATAGCATCACGGACCACCCACCCACCCGTGAATAATAAATGTAATAGACTTTAATATTTACATTCGTTTTGTTGAGGCAATCTTTTTTTTTAGTATTTCGTTGTTACTTTGCTGTTGTTGTTAAGTAGGTTTTTATGATAAGGTATTAATTACCTAATTATAGTTCATCTTCGTCTTGTTCTTCCTCCATACTTGCTGTATTATGGCAACTCAGACCGTTACAATGCTCACACATTGACGAACAGTTCAAGCCAAGCTTACGGCATCCACAATAGTTCCCACAAGTTTGTTTGCACGAGCACGAGACCATTTGTAGGATATCGTTTGGTGCAAGTGGCTTCACACTGGTTACTGGCTTGAGAACTTTTTTTTCTTATCCATTTTCTTTTACAGATTCCAGTTTCCATCCCCATTCAGTTGGCACCAACTTATTTCCCATCCATCTTTGTACTTGGAGGTACACTCTCAGTATATGTTGCTGGCAAGCTTCTGTTGTCGGGGGTAGTCTGGCTAGATCAAAATTTGTTCTTAAGTTAGCTTTTTTCGTCATCAGATTGAATTTGAAGTATCGAGCTTCATTAAGGCTCGAGAACCTATCCATTCCATACAGTCCAAGAACAAACTTTTCTCCGTTATTTAACAACTCTTCCTTTGGAACATCGCTGTTATTAAACACCAGGGCCTGACTCATAGTCTCTTCGGATGACTAGCTTTTCAATCACCTTTAACTTGCCCAAACCATAAAAAGATGAGGTGGTGTCGCATCCACTTATCCACTTACTTGCGTGTGCAAATAACAAGCCGCTTCGGATTTCATTTAAATAATGCACCAGTTTCTCCACATTATAAATGATTGGGTCATTTTGTCCAGCTTTTGGTTTACAAAAGAATAATTTACTATCAGGGGGAGCCAGAGATACTAGCATAACAAGTAGGTCTGTGTCTGTGCCAACAACAAAGACTTTTGTGTTGTTGATGCACTTTCGCAAAGCCACATCAACTAACAATGTCATAGTCGGCGTCTTCTTCGGCAGTGTGTGTAGTTATTCCGCGCCTTTGCATCTCCATTGAAACCGCCAGCAACAATCTTTTCTTATTCTTTCTGTTCCCCAGTAAGTTTTCTTTTAAAGTTGAACATCTTGTAGTGTCTTCGAATAAGATTTCACATGACGTTTTACTAGAAGCCCTCCTAAGGCAAATGTCAATGCTGAGAATATAGTGGACATGTTTGAAGCATCCATGTTAATAAAAGGTAGCTCCATGATGTATGTTGACTGGACGTTTTTCTTTGTATGGATTATTTGCATAAAGCCATTCCACCCGGGTTGGGTTTTCACTCCCGACAGCCAAATAGTGTTGAGTGGGAACACAGCAGATAATGTGAAGTCACCACAGACATTTAATTGAGCAGTTAACTGCGAAAAACCAGCCACTATAACATTTTTCAGTCCAACGCGGGATTGTTTGTTTGCGTAAGATTTTATACTTATAGTCTCGGCATTGAAAGTTCCTGTGGCAATCCTATCAACTTTTGTTTGTATTTCAACGCTAGATTTTGGTGTGATACATTGAATACCTCCCATAGCGTGGAATGTATTCAGGCCATCTAGTGTTCTCACATTAACATCGGCGTTATCAAAAACATGTTGTATAAAGACTTCTTCCTTTATTACAGGCGACCCCGCAGTGATTAGTGAGTTTAAGTAAATAGACGTTTCATTATAGGACGCACAAATTCCCATTGAGTTAAGCATGTTTATTAAATGCTTGGATCCAAATAACCTATGAAGTGTTAGAATGAGCCCCAATTGCACTGAGGACAGAAAAGATCGTGGCCTGACAGCTGAAATGATCGCATGATTAATAACGATACGTTTCCTTTTTATACTACTTTGTTCTGATGACGTTCTTTTCTTCGTAAGCCTACTTGTGAAGAGTGCCAATGACTCGGGAATCAAACTTTCATCTCCACTTTTGATTTCATCGACGCCTGGATAAGACTGAGTGTCATAAGTCATATTTTGAACATCTTCCTGTATCAGCTGCTTTTGTCACAATCCTCAATTTTTCAGCCTGCTTGTCAATCTCTCGATCTCCGTACCAGCTATCTATAATTTTATTAACTGTGTCAGACAAGCAGATAATTTTTTTTTGCCTGACATCCTAGACACTAAGATACGATCTTCGAAATGTTTTACAAGACGCTCTTTTAGCCATCTGTCTGAATACATATCCGTTGCTCCCGTGATTCTGCTCAGTAAGTCTTGAAGCTCCTTAATAGTGAACTGACATTCGTCACTTTCTTCCATGTAGTCACACAGCTTGGCAAAATGATCTTCAGCAGTTGCTGGCCTTCCAACAGAGCCCTCTCCAGAAGAAGAAAACGATGTGAAGCACTTTTTGTGATACCGAGCCTCAGGTGCAACAAGGTCACTCACGTTCAACAAACGAGCTCTTACTCTTTCTCCCCAATCATCACTCCGTTCGTCACATTTCTGAAGGAAATTCTCCCTTATTTTTAGTGTTGCCACAACTCGAATTTCTTTCCTTCGGTCCAGAGGAGTTTTGGAAGTGACTAACGCCGAATCTCCAAAGATAAAACATTTAGTTTTGAAGTCAAATACTTCCCCCACGCTTCGCCGTGTTGATGTTGAAGGGATACATAGTTCTGACACCCCCGATGACAAAACCACCGCGGCAATGCTTGAAGGTCTGGTGTAATCCTGCCTACACTTTTTATGAACTTTAATGGTCTGTTTACCTTCAATTTTTTCGTGAACACCATCTTTTCGCTTTAAGCTACTCTGTACAATAGTGTTAAGTCCTTTTGAGACTTGTACAATATCACCGTCCAGGCTGTTGTCACACAACGGAAAAAGGGCGTCTGCATCATACATGTCGAACAAAAATAAATTACCGTCCAGACATGAATGAGTAAATCTAAAAACTGCAAAAAATTAATCCTTAACTGAAAAAAATGTAGATTGTTATAGCTAAGACGTTAGATATTCTGGTTTTTATATACATTTTAAAGCTATTCGTTATTAAACTGTTATAACCAACCTTCTAGTTAGAATATCCAAAAACTAAATAGTGTCCAATCACAATCACTTGTCAAAATTAATTGTACATCACGCCACTGTAATACTTCTTGTACTGTCATACGCCTTTCACTGAATTACTTCTTGAAACCGCACATTAAAGTTGAAAACTTTTTAGCAAATCGAGACTTTATCAGCACCGTTCACAATAACTCTCCACCTAAGATTGAAGAGACACAGAACTTCAACAGCTGTTTTAGGTGCTAAAAGCGAGCCACCGAACTTGATTGACACGTCATAAATGGGGTAAGTGTCAGTAGCCCCACACCCTCACTGAGTCTCTAGGCCTTCCGTCTGGAACCTCGCAACGTGTGATTGTTGGAACAATATTCTCTATCTATTATCTTAAACTATAATTTAATAAGAGTGCATATAATAAATTACAGGCATAGTGGCATTTGTAATTAATTGAAACTAGGGCGATATTTAAAGTTTCGTTAAAGATTATAAGAAATTAGATAAATAAATAAATAATAGGTATAACACTAAAGTCTACTATTTAGTCTCTGACAGTATTAGTTCAAACCTCATTAATAGATAATTGATTTTGCATAACAAACTCATTCTGTACTGTACCTTACCCAGGGTGGATAACTTCACTCGCTGTTATAAGGCGGCGCGCGGCACGACGGCTGCTGCGTCGTCGAGGCCCAGACTCGTCTCGTTTTACCGTTCCCCTGCCCATATTTATATCACAATCCTATACTTATTTATATGCAAATGTTTTTTTTAGAGTTTATCATTAAATTTTGAAGAAAGTGTTGGATTTAACGCAAAAGTGTAAAGGAACTTATTTTAGACAATTCATTTAGGAATATAACGAGCTGTAAATTATTACAATCGGATAAACCATACTGGACTAAGGCGTGATTTAGTAAAACCTTGCAATTCCTGACTTTGAGGGGGGGTGGGGGGGAAAGCACCGGGGGGATTTTAGGGGACTTTTTGGATAATGTACATCTCTATGTGTACTATCCAGTGGTATATAGTTTTGCTTGTCACTAATTTGTTCCGACGTTGGTCGTTTTTGTGTCTTTATTGGCTGGGCTATTTCATCATTTTATCGTTTTATAAAAAAGATTTCCAATAAGCGAAAATAATTGCAAACAAATTTAATTATTAAAATATCAGCATTGTGCAAAAAGACAGAGTAAAAGTGACCTGTAAGATAGAATGAATTTAAATAAATTCAATTATATCGCGTAAAATCGTATTTATATTAGTTCCTTTAAACGTTATAATTGTGTTTAAGTAGAAACTAGGTTACTTAACCGGTTAAAGCTATTAGTCTCAGTACAATTACCCTAGACTGTTGTGGATGCATTAATCAAATTCCACTTGTCTTTTCGTCTCTTTTCAGACTAGAGTTCTAATTAGATATCAATCAGTGTAATAGTTACAGTATTGTTCCTTATTTAAATTCATCTCTAACCGATTATCGAAAATATATGTTGGTTTTCAAGACTCTGCGCATTTTGTTTGATTAAGATTAATATAGTTGATAAAAAATAGATAATCAGAAATTGTCTCCAAAACAACAATGAAAACAAAAATATTTTAAATTTGAAACTAATCATTTTTTGATATAGGGGAGAGTGGTACATACCGGGATAAAAATATTAAAACATTTTTTTCTTCAATATTAGTTGACTTAGAAGAACAATCTTTACACAAAAATAAAGCACTTTTAAAACACTTTTAATGATATTTTTTCAAAATTATTAACTTATATTTAAAAGGCCACAAACCGTTTGTCCCGCTTTATACCACTTGTCCCAACATGTACCGACCCTGGTACAAGGTGGGACAGCAATATGGTACAAAGTGGGACAGCATATGGTGCAAAGTGGGACAATAAATGGTACAATGTGTGAGGTATACTTAAATAAGACAGTTTCAGACAAATTTAAAACAATTATTGATATATGTGACTTGTAAAAACTTATAGTAAATAGTTAGTAATTCCCGAAATTGCTCCATATTCTGCATGCTCCAAAAACTTCTGGCGGCAAATCTTCGGCATTATGGAACTGAAAAAATATATTTTTTTTTGTAAAATTCCACTATAATGTTCTTTAATGAATAACTATGATATGAATGAATGTATCTATATTTTAAGAGTTAAATGTAGGTCTACTTTGGCATAAAACTGACCCCGCTAAAACTCTATTTATGTTATAAGTAGGTAAAAAAGTAGAAAGAAATTGTTTAATTGAAAATATAAGTATTAAACAGTTTAAAAATACCTAGACCTAACACAAAATTATGACAATGGTTGATTTTCTGGGTAAACCGCGTTAGGGTTTACCATGAATAGTATGTTAAGGGGTTTTTTTTTTTATTTAACAAACCTAGGTCCTATTCTAGGTAACCTACCAAGCAGATGAGGCATGTCATATATTTATATGGGTATGCTTGTATTTATAGCCTATTATGAATTGCTATAATAGTATAATAAATCAATTATCATTGCTTGTCCCACTATGTACCGATTTCCCACTTTGTACCACCTTATTTAACATTGTCCCACAATATACCACAAATAACTGTCCCAACTTGTACCACATGTAGGGTTATGTTGTTTTTAAGT